TACATTAACACCATTGTGGAAGAAAACCTATCCTTTTCCGTTTTTTTTCTTTTTTCTTTTTTGAGATAGATACAGAGTACATTCAAATCTTCTCCTGAAACAGCACCAAAGACCTGAAAATCCTATCCTCACATCCTTTAAACACCTAGCAGATGTGCAAAACAATTTGTTTAATTAACAGGACATAGTTATTTCAAATGTCAGTGGGTAGCATTCCAGTGATCAAGGCTAAAAGAAGGAACGGTTTTCTTCCTACCGCTAATGGCTAAACCTGGCACTGAGCCTTTGGCTGTTGCTCCCCAACAACGGGTATCCTTTTAGAAAATGTGCCTGTCACAGCTTGCCTCAAACTGATATAGTGTCAAGATGCAGAGAAAAGAAATGAGTTTGGGAAACACAACTGGACTCTATTAGCATTAGACCCATTAGTGTGCAGGGAGGAGTCAGCTACAAGGGCAAGCGGGTTCTGCCCGGACAAAAAGTCCATTTGTTCACTATGGTAACGTACTAGCTTTCGGGATTTGAAAATGAAATACTCTAACACCCAATATTTAAGTACAAAAAAATACTTCTCTTTTCTTGGTAGTTTTTTTTTCTTTTTCTTTTGGGCCTTTGTTCTGAAGAATAGTAATCCATAGAAATCAAAGATAACAAAGTAACAACACCAGGGAAACAATGTTGTGTGCAAACATAATGGTTTATCACCTGAGAGGGTAGTCCAGGTGACCACTGAGATCCGCCAACACACACAGCTTCAGGAGGATACCCTCCCTGCCCGAGAACTCCTCAGCAAACAGACAACGACTACCCTTTGTCTTTCAATCCCTTTCTTTTACAATCTCTATTGCCATTTCAACACCAGCATAGACTTTAATTACTAGTCCTGATGAGCTTAGAGTCAGCAAAAGTATTAAAAAAATTTTAAAATAACTAACAACCTGAAGAGCATTGTTACCAAACCAAGAGTTACAGTCAAACAGAGACTATGAAAGTTCCTCTTCAAGAAAAGCCAACTTTCTCAAGAAAGCTATGCAATATTTCCTAAGTAAATTATTGATATGATGAATGTGAAATTAAAATTGAATTCAATCTAACAGTTACTAATCAGGTAAAACTAATATCTTCTCATAAAATTGGAATAAAATGCTCTTCTTCAGGGTATCAAATGTCTGCAAGAAATGGATAAATAGCCTAAGAAAAGAATATTAAGTTTAAGAAAATATTTTCCAGGTGTTTTAAAGGTTAGAAAATTGGTACTTGTCAAATAAAAATGAACAGGAAAAGCTGAAATATGCACACCACCCGGACCATTATAATATGTGACTCTGGCATTGTTCCAATGACAGACAGTAAAATTACATTAGGCATTTATTGAAGTACGCTATGTATCCAGCATTAAGCTAGATGCTAGAAATAGAAATACAAATTACATTTATTTATTGCCTGGAAGTGAACTCAAAATTTAATGGAGAAAATAGAAAGCATTAAATATTAGATGCAATGCTGAGATTCCCACTTGGTTAGCTTTGCTTGGTAAAGGAGTTCCTAAAACTCCATATTCTTTCCAGTGCCTGTATGTATTGAAAGCATCATATGACAAGCGATGTGCACAGTAGGAGCCAGTGACTCTGGAAATATGAAGGATGACCTGCTTAAGTTTGATGAAGGTAGAAATAGTGGAACGCTGTCTGAAAAATACTTGCTCAACCTCAAAGGAAAGGAAGGAAAGAGAAAATTGGAACAGCATGATCCACGGAAATGCTAAAGTATGGTACATCTGAGGAAAGCACACTGTGAACAAGATTTATAGATACAGCAAGGAATGGGACTGGATGAGCTAAACAAAATTACAATAGAAATGTAAATTTCATGAGAAATCCTTTCTCTAATAGATTTCCTAGATAAGCAAAGGTCTTCTGAACTCTGTGCTTCTAGAACTGACAACAAAGGGGCTCTTTATTTTGTAGGCTATGATACTTTATTTTTATAGCAATAATAAGGCAATCAAGAAAGTTTAAATTCATAGATGACATTCAAAATAGCATAGCAACAGCTCTTAGGGATAGAATACATCAAACAGCAGATATTTAAACTAGCAAGACTAGTTGTGGCTTTCTATAATGGTTTCCTGCTGCAAAGGAAGCTTATTTGATAAGGAGTGAGAGCTATGATGATCTGAGGCCATAAGAATATGAGTGCAGTTAGGAATTATGCTGGTTTGGGGAAGAGGTGACAGAAAGTTCTTCTCTAAGATCCATGACCTCTCTAGTCACATATAGTTAGTTAAGTTTGCAGTACTAGGGATCGTTTCTTTCCTGTCAAGTGAGCCTTAAATCCAAGTAGACTGCTGTTGCTGACCATCAGTTTACCAGTACCACTATTGCTTCTTTAGTGGTATATTGCTATGCTGTTCATTGCTGCGTCTTGTAAGCATCATAGCTAAGGAAGCTGTTGATTGCTCCCCTCGCTTAGCAACTTGTTCTCATGGAGAAGGTTTTCAGGTTTATTCCAGCTCAATTTCTCCTAGTACTATATCCAAGGTTTGTGGTGTCTTCAGCAATAGGCATTTACCTTGGATTTCAGGAGGGAACCAAGGGCAATAGCAACTACTTATATTGTTTTGATAGTTTCTTGGTTCCCCTCGCCAACAAGCCAAAAGGAGGTTCTTTCGTGCCTAGTACTGGTATTTTTTTTTATTAGGTTGTCTATGGCTCTTGAGGAGAATATTATAACCCAAATAGTGTTGACAGAGGTTTCTGTCCCACCTGGTCCCACAGTCGTTCAGTCCCAAAGAAACACACAGAGGCCTACATTAATTATAAACTGGTTTTCCTATTAGCTCAGGCTTTCTTTTTAACTAATTCTTACAATGTACATTAACCCATTATTCTTGTTTGTGTTAGCCACTTAGCTTAGTACTTTTTTAGCAGTAATGCATTCTAGTCTTGCTTTCTCTGCATCTGGGTGAGCAACTGCAGAATGACTATTCCTCTTCCCAGAATTCTCCTGTCCTGATCACACCGCCTATACTTCCTCCCTGGCCATTGGCCAATTAGCATTTTATTAAACCAGTACAAGTGACGAATCTTTACAAGGTGCAAGAACAATGTCCCACAGAAAATTAGTGTAATTTAATTAAATATATATATGTGTGTGTGTGTATGTATGTATGTATACATATATATTGTATTTTATATATTTGTTTTATATAACTATATAATTTATATAAAATAATACATAATTTTATGGAACTACATTACAGAAAACTACAGTTAGTCAAAATACAGGTAACAACTGACTGAGAGCTGCCCAGCCACAGCTGATACATGTTGAACACAACTCCTGCATCTGAAGCTAAAGGAACATTGTGGAAAAGAAAGCAGGAAGATTGCAATTTTCTGAAGGCCAGAATGTCTTCTGTGAGACTGTATCTTTATGTTACACTGGGGAAGGTACACTCATGTTATCTCAACTACATGGCTACCTAAAGAAGACATGGATAAGGCCAACACCAGTTGATATCCCAACATACTTGGATGAAATCTCAAGGGCCCCACTCCTACATGAAGAGCTAGAAGCAATTAGGAACTGCTGAGAGAGGGGGCAGATTAGTGTTTCTTAGAGATTGGCACCCTGACTGGCTATCTAACATCAAGTGGTCTTTTCTAGAAACATACATGCAAACAACACTGCAGGAGCTCAGCATGTTATATATAAATGTTCTTTTGTTTATATATGCACATAACATCAATGGCAAAAAAGAGAGGATCATGAATTTATGAGGAATAGAGAAGACATGAGAGCAAAGAGGGAAGAATAGAAGAGGGAAAATGATACAATTACATTCAAATTAAATAAATATTTAATGTTTTAAAGTTTAAAATAAAATGAGAATAATTCAAATTTTTGACAGACTATTGTATTTCCTTTAAAAGTGTAAAGACTTCCAATAGTATGGTTGTAAATATACTAGGCTGTGCTAACAAGTCAAATTGGCAAAGATAAATCACAGTGGCAAATGGAAGAATCGAACTTATCATAAAGAGAAGCAGATGCTCCACATCCCACAACAGTGGAGACAAGACAGTCCCTCAACAAGGGGAAAGCCGTGAAGGATGATATTAGGTCATCTGCATTCACTCTTTGGCATCTTCCGGAGTCTGCCTCTTGAGTCAGAAGAGCAGTGGAACATAAAAGGTGAACAGAGGTTCTTTTTATGTTCTGAGCCTTTCCTCAGCAGCACCTTTCAGGATTTCCATTACCCAAAGACAAGGTATCTTCCTGAGTCCTAGTTCTTTGTGTTTTATTCGGTCCATGGTTTTAAATTCTTTGAGCATCTCAGAAACTGGCCCCACAGCATTTGGCAGTGATTCTTACTAGGTACCAGACCCTTTCTATTATTCAAAGAAGTCAGCATAATAATGCCTTTGACTTCTAATATTAATTCTTCTTTTTACTTCAGCTCTATGGATAATAATGGCTGTACCCAACATTAATAGCTAGATGACATCACCCTCTCCTTTTTTTCTTTTGGTTTTAACTGCATATCTATAACTACTGTGTGGTGTTAAGTAATTTCTGATCTAAAAAGAAACCATTATTTTTCTTTTAAGGACTAGACTAAATTAACTACTACCTGTGAGCTACAGTAAACTCTGGAAAAAGATTTATTATAATTGTCTTTGGTGTGGATTTCTTGATCCATGGACACTTAAAATGGAGGCCATGATAAACCCCACTAGAAACTGGCATAGTGGTGACATACAGAAAGTACTGGAATTATGATATTGTAGGTTATTAGTGGGAATATTTGAATTGTCTATGGAAAGTAGCTGTGTTGGATAAAATACAGATAATGTGGTTATCTATTGCTGTAGTATTGATGTTAATTATCAGGAAGTGAATTATCATTTCTTGTTATTAATCAAAAGTTTACTAAAATCATGCTTGTATATTAAATCTCCAACAGAAAATGGGTTTTTGAAAATATATACTAACACATTATTTCCTAGTAAGAGAAATTCAATGATGAACAAGATGGTTTTTCCAGGTGAATATCTTTTATTGCACTCTAGGTATGTTGACCCCTCTGATTTTTCCTGATGCTGGAAATCCAATTGCATAATTTGTGGTAGGAGGAGACAGTGCTCACAATTTTCATATATGTGTCTAGTAAAATATGTTTTCTATTATATTATATCTCATATAGTATAACACATATACAATATAATTATATATTATCCATAATATTATATAATTATTATAAAATTACATGACTAATACAATTGTATATAGTATAATTATGTGTAATACAGTTATGTATAACCATACAATATATTACATATATTATATATATAATACACAAGTCTTCTATTTATCTTCAATAAATACTCAATACATATAATAATTACAATAAAAACAGATTTAATATAATCTAGAATAATCTAGTTGTTCTAGATGGTATACAACAAGATAAGTTGAGTACGTACTCTTCATCAGCATGCTATTGAGCATAAAAATATTTGCCAGAAAAAATGTCCTTGAGAGTTGAAATAGAAATGTTTGGGTGGTTGATGAAGAATTTGAAACATGAGCCTCACTGGCCACTAAGGGAAATATTCTAACATTGTTTGGCGACCTTATTACGGCCTATCCCAAGATGTTTGCTCATAAAAGGATAAAGAATTAAATTGTGTCTTCAAATGAATACAATTACCCAAGGAAAGATTTTTTAAAACATTAAAATATTATCAACACTTTACTAATGTGCATCAGTTAACATCTGGAGACCATGCATAAAGGTTGATTAAAAAATAGGAGGCGAATGAGATGGAATAGACAAAAGATGAGCTTGCCAGCTCCGTTCACCCTGCATTTCATACTTCACCTGATACATAAATATGCCCCAGCACTTCTGCTTGCACCCTTCTTCTTTGTACATTTTTCATGCCTAGAGCAAACAATCGGAGTCAGGATTCAGACATGACTCATACCTGAGGCCTGGGCAATTCACATACAATGCTTGCAGAAAAAGCAGAGGGCATCCATTTCCCCTGCATTACCAAGGGCATTGGCAGATTGTATTTAACTCCAGCATGGGCACCTATTCATCGAAACCCCACCCCTCTACCCAGAAGAGTCGGGCTGACTTAATTAAGACATTAGCTTCAAAGATACAAAAAAAAAAGTCTTCTTAATTCTATTGAGAGTGGAGAGTGGGAAGGATTTCTTCATTGACATGAGGTGACATCTGATCTCTGCTTGTTTCTGTGCAGCAAGCACTATGGAATGTGTCTGCCCAGCTTGGCTGACTCTCGTAGAAGGAAGCCCATACCAATGTCCAGCTGATTATAAAAGAAAGACAAGAGACTCCAGCTAAGAGAACTCTTACATGTGCAGACTGTTGTTACGGCGCTCTGCCCAGGGCTCATCAAGGATTACTGAGGTTTGAAGAGTAGAGTTTTATGTTAAACTTAATCAACATACCCCTTCTTTCCTTGAAAATAAAAACTGGCAAGGGAGTGGAAAAGACATCAAGGCATTTTTCCTATAAATCTACACGAAAATCAATTTCAGAGTCAACTTTTGTGCTTTTATTGCTTATGGTGTTTTTATTTATTTTGTGGGTGGAGGGAAGCTGAAACAGAACATAATTCAATGTCTTTCAAATTGCTTGGAGAAATATAATAAATCCAATATATATGGAAAAGTTTATAGGATTCTCTCTTTTATTCAGAAAATATACACAACTCTGAGATCCTTCTGTGATGTTAAGACTGTGTCACTTTTTTTTCAAAGTTTTTAATACATATGTCACAAGATTTCCTTGGGGCTTAGGAGTTTATATTCTGCAGATCTCTGATAGGAGATGACAGTTGATATTTGGAATGATAAGGAACAATTGTCTTTTCTAAACTGCTATTCTTAAAAGTCTTTCTCTCAACTTTGCAATTACAATCTCTCATTTCATTTTCAATGCCTAGGAATTATGATGGGAAGCAGGAAGGGAGAGTGACCATTAATATTGCGACATCAGCCTCCGTACGTGTTCTTTGTGTGTGAAATTACATTTTTATGACATTTCTCTGGTTTTGTTCAAATCAGTTCTATTGAAAATCATCTTGGATCCAATTTTTATCCAGTAACTGCCTCTCAATATGCATCACTCTTGTAAGAGTTAAAGATTTGTTGGTTCAGCTTTTCAGGCAAAACTATTTGAATGTGTAAGAGGGTTGTCAGAGTGTACTTTGGACTATGTCAAAGTTAAATGAATTCAAAGTTGCCTGCTTTATCAGTAGTTATGTCCCCATTGTGAAAATACTTTAAGGAAATACTTGAAGGAAAAGTTTAAAGTTACCACTTCCCAAAAAGGAGGGAGGGATTAGTTATAGTAGCATAGAACTACCCTCAAATGAGTGAATCAATGTGACCAAGGGTACCAGGGGATACTTCTTTGTATGGAAGACACTTTTGGAGTCTAGATAAATTCCTCTAAATCAAGTCTTGAATAATGACACCAATTCTTTTCCCATTAAGCACTAGGGTCATCACTACAAAAATAGCTCACTATATATAAAAATAAACACCAGACACATACAATTAACACCTAAAGCCGTTTGCCCTCCTTATCTGCTCTGCCCAAGAGGATGCTTTTGCAACTGGCTGGAAGAAGCATGGGTCAGAGGCAGATATTTCCCTAGGTTTTCTTCATTTACCTAAATTGAAATTGCCTCACAGAGAGGGAAGTGGGAATTAATGGACATTGATGAGAACATAGTAAAACCCCAGTGCTTTATATCGGATACAAAATCATTAGCACAGCAAGGAAAACTTTAAATAGATGTTAAGACATTGAAAAGCATTTACCCCTCTGAAAGTCAACTTCCTTTAAATGTGAAGAACAAAGTTGGCAGCCATTCAGTGGTGCTAATGGTATTAAAACTATCCCAAATTTAGAAGACTACCGCCGATGTGGCCACCAGGCTCCTTCCCTACGGACTAGACCAATGTTTCTCCACCCTGGCTACACATTAGAATTACCTAGGGAGCCTGTGACATAATTGATCTCCACTGGAGAAAGAATGTATTTTTAAAGCTCACCAAGTGATCCTGATGTAAAAAGATGGAGAAGAGAACAGACTAGAAATAGGACAAAGTTTTCACACTTGAAATATATGTTCAGACTCTTCTCCTCTCAACCACATAGAACAGTGTCTTTTCAAGTGCAGGGTTTTGGAAGATGCATCAGAGGAAAATGACTGCACTAGAAAATACATCCTGCTTGGTAGTAAGAGAATTTGTCTTTTATATAAGCTACATCCCTAGAGAGTGTTGTAAAATATAATATACTAAGTCAGACGCGCAAGGAAAACACACCATTTAAGTCATGTCTTTAGCTTCCTTCAAGACAATATCCTCTGGGAAGCAAAACAAAAACATGATACCTCAGAATTAAAAAAAAATCCTTGGTTAAAATAACATACAATAATATTCAAAAAGAGTCACTAAAGGGAGGGCTCCCAAGTCTTCACCCTCAGAGTTCCTCACATCTCCAGTTTTGGCCTGTTGTACTGTGCCTTTCTTTATTGTTACTAAGTTCTAAAATTAATGTCTGGACTTTTCTGCCGCACTTGTTAGAAGTCGTGCTTTTAAATAAGGAAAATGGGGAAAAGGAGTTTCCTCATTTAAATTTTGTTCTCTGTTCTATTTAATGACTTGGTGCATGCTCTGAGAAGACCCAGGCAAAGACTGACTGTTATTCCACCCAGATTCTATCATAAGGAGAGGAAAGTGTTGAAGCCAGAGAACTGGCAAAACCTCTGAGATCAGAATGTATGTTTGTTGACCCATCTGGATATTTATAATTCTCTATTTGGAAGTAAGGGGATTTAAAAGAGTTTGTTAAAAACTATTTTGGGAAGAAGAATTTTGTAAGTTAGGACCCTAAAATTAAATGACTATTAAAATTGTAATGGCTGTAATGATAATTATTTAAATGATAAACAGAAAGGAGAATAAAAGAGCCTCCATTTCTGTATTTTTTAACCTGTATAATGTTTCATGCCACGTTTACAAATTAACCAAAAACATAATATTTTGGGCCAGAAATTAAATTAAAAATTTAATAGGCTAGAAATATAATAATCAGTGATGCATGCATGTGTGTGTGTGTGTGTGTGTGTGTGTGTGTGTGTGTGTGTGTATGGCTTTTGTCTATGACTACGTTCTTCTAGCATTAAGATATAAATTCGGAAACAATACCTTCTGATGGAGGAGGGCTAACTGTTTATGTGTTACTTTCATTGGTTAATAAAGAAACTGCCTTGGCTTTTGATAGGACAGCAGCTTAGATAGGCGGAGTAGACAGAACAGAATACTGGGAGAAAGAAGGCAATGAGGCAGACGCCATGCAGCTAGCCCCCAGGTCAGACATGCTGAATATTTCCCGGTAAGCCATCACCTCGTGGTGCTACACAGATTACTAAATATGGGTTAAATCAATATGAGAGAGTTAGCCAATAAGATGCTACAGATAATGGGCCAGGTAGTGTTTAAATGAATCCAGTTTCTGTGTAATTATTTCAGGTAAAGCTAACCGGGCGGGCGGTGGGAAGCGGCCCACCGCTCCCTCTAAAACTTTCTCCTCACTCTCAATTGTTTATGAACATGTTTTCTGACCAATTACTTTTCACAGCTAAAAAATATTATGTATCATTTTAGAGACACATATATAAATGTATGTACACACATGCATAAATATGTACATAGCTAAAGATAAATACATATTTGATGTCTTCAACATACTGCTGTTAATGACTTTTTTGAAATAATTTCATCAGTTTTTAACTTGCTTAAAAGATCACCTATCTGTGGCTCTATACCAACATTTTCTGAAAATAGCGGCATGGACAGAAGCGATGACTCAGCTCCCTGCACTGTGTTGGACAGCTCAAAACTGCCCCTAATATCTGCTGCAGTGTGATCCAAAGCTTCTGGCCTCTGGTGGAAGCTATAATCACATGCATATAACACACACACACACACACTCACACACACACACACACACATACACAAATGACTTAAAAAAATAAAAACAAATTTTACAAGAAAAAATAGACAGTTGCTATGCAGCTTATTGATAGAGCACATTCTTCCCATGTAC